TATATATATATGATAGGAAATATTATATTTAAATATTTTCTTATGTTGACATTGCAATAGACATCACATGCATCTGTAGATAAATATATTGAGGATATAATTAAGCTTCTATTCCTGAATAGTTTATTAAACAATGCAAGATATTTGCAAGGCAAAAGTCTAAAGGAGATTTGATGGCATGCTTTTAATTACTATTGAGTGTGTGCGGCCATAATATAAGATATCTTATAATATTTTTAGTTGTTCACTAATAATTGAGTGATGCATAGTTTCAAATGTGGTTGTTGATAGCATTAAATCTTATACATACATACATATATATATGGAAAAGAATGGTCATCCCTATTGTGTCTAACAAACAATTTGAGTACCACCTTCTTAAAGCCAACTGTGTCTGATGGGATTCGAACCATTGAGGAATCTTATACCGCGGATGTCAACCAATAAGTCAGTGCACGCGACACTATGCTCAACTAAAGCATAAGAACACTTGACATCTGAAAGTTAAGATTGATGATCCAACATTCTTCTGATGCGTTGTATTATTAGAAAGATTGTTATCAATAAAAAAAATGTGATTAAAATGAATCAAATGATCATATTATGTCAAAAAAATCAATGATTTATTCATGGTTATAGCACAAATTGAGAGCCTAGTTAGAAAAGCTACTTAGGAGCATCATCCTCTTCTCAATGCTTATTTTAACATGTATCATGCAATTTAAGTCTTCTATAATTTAAATTTGAAAATACGGAGTGTTCTACTAATTGTCATTATAAAATTAATCCTATTTGGAGTGTGAGATGACTTGATCAACCATTTCGAACAAATGAACTCATGTATGTTAGTCAAAGAACTCATGTAATGGGAGCTAAGAGTTTCAACTATTTAGGTCAAAGTACGCTATATTAATATATATACTAATTTCAAATAAAACTTAGAAAAAATCTTGCTGTTCGCAAGTAGCTCATTTCATTCAATTCATTCGTTTAAACAAGTGAGTCAAAAACAAATAAATTTTTTTTTGGCTTGATTTATAAATGAGTTGAAAAAAAAATGGATTTTTATTTGATTGTGTTCGGCTCATTTTGACTCAAATTAATTAAATAATTAAATAGTTAATTAGATTATAATATATTTTATTAAAATTTTCATGTATTAAAAATATTATTTTTTTTTTATTTTTTTAAATTATTTGAGGTAATTTCAAGCCACAAATGAAGTTAAAAAGAGCGAAGGAATTTAAATTGAGTCGAGCATAAACAAGCTATTAAAGAGCCTATTTGAGCACGAGCCGGTCTTGAATTAAAAAATTAACATTCCAAACACGTTCATAAAAATTATTCAGTATAATAATATGTCGCAACTAGCGAAGTATTAATACTTGATATAACACTAAAGTATTCATATTAAGAATGAGGTCAATAAATTATATATAAGTAATCGCCACAACTTTCCTTTATTTTTCATTTTCCTAAAATACCATGTGATTTAAATACGGCAATATAGCAACCAATGAATTTCATAATCATTATTTATTATTAATCAATTAATTGTGTGCCCTATCTTAATCAATCAAATATGATCAATTAAAAAATATGCATACGATATAAAAACATAAATTTGTTGAATATTAATTTGTCTGTGAATCACACCTGAAAAATAGATGACAAGTCATGGAAGAGACATAAAGAGAGGAGAATGAGCAGTAATACGTTGCACTTTATTCATCAAACGATTTCTCTATTTATAGGAGAGAGTATAATATTGTGATATTATATTTTTCCTCTGCTTTAAAGGGGGTGTACAAGATATCATTGGTATTTTACATGTATGAGTCTCTCGCTCGACTACTCTCTGACTCGATTGGCTGAGCTTTGATTGATTTCGGGTCAGCATAACCAATTTGATCAGCTAAGCTTGGTCGACATTATCGTTCGACTGATCTAATTTGGTTGTTGCCCTTGATAATAGGTGAAAAGACTTCTGGACGTCTATGTTGTGATTGAGAAGCTGACGGATTGGGACTTCCCTCCTGGTGGTTGCCTTGAATGTCTCTGTCTCATTTCAGACCGAATGGTTTAGACTCACATCATTTAGTCATTTTTTGTGGCTCGGTCAATTTTAGTCTGCTAGTATTGACTCAAATGGTTGCACTCAATCGAATAAGTGAGTCTCATGTTATTTCGCCGATAGGTCATCCCTCAAACTCTCCTCCTATGAACTATTAGTTCTCCTCAAAATTAGCACTAAAACATTTTTTTATGCACAAAATTTAAATTATTTAAAATGTAATATATTTATAAAATAATTAATAAGAATTTTTAAATTAGTTTTTGATTCTTTTCAAAGACATCTCTTTATGTCAATTCTACACATTTAAAAAATAATAAAAAAAGAGAACAATGATGTGATAAGTAAGCCGAAGACGGTTCAATTCGGGCCGACCGGAATTATTTCGAACCAGAGCCGTCGTAGGAAAGCATTGAAAACGAATCCTCGCCAGCCTACCACAAGAGAGAGAAATCTCTCTGTCCTTCCTTATATTCCCTCTCTCTATCTATCTCCGTGTCTCTCTCTCCAGTTTTCTCACTCGGACTACCAGAGCTAGCGCGCTAGTCTGGGAGGAAGAGATGAGCTGAATTGTGGAAGAGAGGACGAGTGATGGAGTGGGTGAAGGTTCCCGCAACTTTCAATGGCGGAGAAGAGAGGAGAAGAGAGGAGGAAGTAGAAAGAGGCGAAGAAATGGGCGAAGGAGTTCTGTACGTGAAGGTGATGACCGACGAGCAAATGGAGATTCTCCGGCGTCAGATCGCGGTGTACGCGACAATCTGCGAGCAGCTCGTCGAGATGCATAAGGCCGTCTCGGCTCAGCAGGATTCCCTAGCAGGTTCTTCTTCTTCCATTGCTTTTTCTTTTTCTCCTTCGAATTCTAGGTTTTAGATCGGATTGCGTTTGGGGGAAAATACAGGTGCGGGACGGAGATTTGTGGCTATCCGATCGGAGAAAGAGGGGCTTTGGGGGGGAAATCGGGATTTGTTTTTTGAATTTGAGAGTATTTGGGTAAGGAATTAGGGTTTCTTTGGATTTAACTGGTTAATTGTTCATTTATTTCTGATTCTTTAATCTTTTTTTTTTTTTTTTTTTTTGGCTTAAAATTTTTTTCAAAGGAAATATGAGATTAAGACATATAGCATCTTAAGGCACCAATTATATCATAATTATATCCAAAACCGCAAGATAATATAAAAATAATTATAAGAAAATAACATAAATATATACATAAAAAGAGCTGTGAAGGCAGATGCAGAATCAGCAATGTAAAGATGAAGCAAAAAAAACGAATTTTTCATGAAAATCCCTTGATGAAAATTTATGAAATTATTTATATAATAATATATTACATATATTATTTATATAATAATATATTATATATATTTATTTCTAGGTTTAAAATATAACTGCTCGTTTGGTAATGTGGTTATGCGTCTTCTTTTATATTTATTTGGTCCAGGTTCGAATCTATTACTTTCTATTTATTTTTTCAGTTTAATTTTAACGAGCCAATTTCGAGCCGAACATGAACACGAACACACTGTTCACAAGCCGATTTTGAACACGAACAATTTCGAACGAGCCGAACACGAGCCAAGTCTGAGCTCGCTCAAACTCGGCTTGTTACAGCCTACACCGAAGTGCCATAAATGTAAAAAACGAAAGTTTAGGTGGTAGATATGTAAATACATATGAATTATGTAATAGGTTTTTTAATTTCCCTAATTTTTAAATAATTGTAGATAAGGACAATTAAAGTGTCACTTAAATCAAAATTTGTTATAATCATCTTCTTTTCTCCTCATTCCTGAATAAGACTAATAGAGTTATGAATGCTACCGAAACCAGTTTGACCAATTATTCAAGGAAGGTTTACATACATACCACTCAATTTCTATGTTTCTACATATCTAACACCTAAATTTTAATTTTTTACACATACCCCCTTACCTATGCATGAAATATTATATCTAACACCTAAATTTTTATAAATGTGTAAAAAAAAAAAAGTAATGTTTAAGTGCTAGATATGTGAATACATAAGAAGAATTGGGTGGAATGTATGTAAAGGTGCAAATGGTGGGGTGCTAAAGGAGGAATACATACTTAAGTTCACTATAGTCAACTCAGGCAGGTTTTCTGAATTGGCCCCAGTCAAGGCATGTATTTATGAGTGGCTTGCAAGTCTTGAGCAAATAATTGACAGACCAAACCAACCCCAGCAAGCCTTTTACTGGTTGATCAAATGTGGGCCAATCAATGTTTGGTGAAGGTGGTTAGTCATGTAAGTGTTAAGATAAGAGTAAGGTTTCACCAATTAAGCTTTTAAACATATACTCATATGGCCACCAACCCTTGATATCTAACTCATGTTAAATCACCCAACACATTTTCAAGTTTACACAAAAGAAACTTGATATTTAATTCTTCATGTGATTCATGTTTGGATTTTGAGACAGTTGATCAAATGTGGGCCAATCAATGTTTGGTGAAGAAGGTGGTTAGTCATGTAGGTGTTAAGATAAGAGTAAGGTTTCATCAATTAAGCTTTTACACATCTACTCATATAGCCACTAACCCAAGACAATGATATCTAACTTGTGTTAAATCACCCAAAACATTTTCAAGTTTCCACACAAGAAACTTTATATTTAATTCTTCATGTGATTCATGTTTGAATATTGAGACGGCCTAGCAAGTCATCCAAAATATTCTTAAGCTTCCACAAGAACTTTGAAATCTACCTCACAACATGATTCATGCACATTATTTAGGGTCTGTTTGGAACAACTTTCTACCTGATTTGTGTGTGTGTGTGTGTGTGTGTGTGAGTGAGAGAGCAAGAGAGAGAGAGAGAGAGAGAGAGAGAGAGAGAGAGAGACCATAGTTTGCAATGAGTTCACTTCTGCACCCTACAAAATGATGAAACGATGCTATTTTATTCATTTATGCTTTGATCAGGTATGAGATTTGGAAGCCTGTATTGTGATCCCTTGATGACCTCAACCACTCATAAACTTGCTTCAAGACAAAGATGGACGCCAACACCCATGCAGCTACAGATCCTGGAGACAATATTTGATCAGGGAAATGGGACTCCCACCAAACAGAAGATCAAAGAAGTAACGCTGGAGCTCACAAAACACGGCCAAATCTCTGAAACTAATGTCTACAACTGGTTCCAGAACAGAAGGGCGAGATCAAAGCGCAAGCAAAGTTCTGCAGCAACATCTATTACTGAGTCCGAAGCCGACACAGAAAGCGAGTCCCGAAATGATAAGAGAGCTAAGGCTGAGACTGCCTTGTCGGAGGATCTGCCCAATCCTCCTCCTTCATTACAGTACTCAGAGACTAATAGATTGCGAGACTACGCGTCGTTCTTTGAAGCTTCTCTTACAAACCCAAGTATGCATCTTCTTTCTTGATTAGTTTTTGTTTTTAGTTGTTCATTAGAAGATTTGCATACATAACCACTCAATTACTAAGTATTTACCTATCCACCACCTAGATTTCACTTTTTACATATATATATATATATATATGCGACCATACCTATGCATTAAAATGTGCATCACTTTTTAAAAGTTGAAATGATAGTATTTTTTTATGCGATATAAAAATTTGGATGGTATTAATGTGAAAAGTAAAGTTTGGGTGATAGACATCTAAAATAAAAAATAGGACATGGGTGGTCTGTGTGTAAAAAAAAAAAAAAAACTTGTTTTGAATCAAATAGTAGTCAATTTTAAATGCATATATTTAAATTCATGAAATTATTTTTACTTTATTTACTGAATTAGTATGTGATGGCATGAATGTGTGCAGGGACTGATAACTTGGTGGGGAAGATGTTTTATGCAGGAATTGATCACTTGATGGAGAAAATGGATGACTCCTGGGATCTTTAGACAAATCAATGACATTCTGACTTTGAGTATAAATATTACAGACAGAACCAGAAAAAGACAGCTCTGGGATAAATCACAGGGCTTTCATCAAATTCTTGCAATTCTGCAATTTTAATGTTGTTTTCTAAGATCTTAAGAAGTTGTGGTTGTTTGTTTACCAAGTCTTAAACTGTTTCATGGTGTGATCAATATTTTCCATGGAAGTAAAAGGTTGGCTTTTAAACTGTTGTTTAGATATATATATATATATGGTCTTGCTAGGGTTCGCCTATATATATCATCCCCAATCGCTCTCATCCTGCTAGGGTTCGCCTATGGCGAATCCTTAGTTTCTCTGATTCACTGCGATTTCGACTTTCCTCGTCTTCATCTTCGTCGCCCGTTCGCCGTCGCGTCTCAGCGGCTCATTCGTGATTTAGTGGCTCTCGCGTGAAGGCGTCGAGCTCGGAGGCGACATTTGAAGGACGTCTGGGCGCGAGCTTCTTCTACGGCTCGTTCTTTCTTCATCCCGAGAAGCGCGGGCTCCTTTCTGCAGCTCACGGCTCGTTCTTCGTCATTCCGAGAAGCGCGGGCTTCTTCTGCAGCTCTTGTCCTCGATCGTAGGGCGCGAGCTTTCATCTGGCTCGAATGAATCGCCTACTGCTCGACTTCCCTTTTGGCATTTGCTCTTCCTCTATTGTCACTTTGTTATCCCACAGCCCCACCTCCCTTTTTTGGGATGGCTTCGGACAGCTCGTATGCTGTTGCTCTTGCGGGTGTTCATGTCTCAAGTACACCTAAATCGCCATCTTTTCCTCCATATTAGTGGGCGGAGGATATCAAGAAGTTTGGTAGGAAAAATGGAAAGTCTATCATCTTTTTTACAGAAGATGATGGTATTCAACTTGTTTCCTCCTGTAATCTGAATTTAGTTAGAAAATTTTATATGGTCATCCCAAAATGGAGCTCATTCGCAAAGAATTTGAATTTATGTACCTTGTTGGAGAGTGGAAAATGGGACTATTAGATGGGAGACACATTCTTATTCAAATTAATAATAAAAAAGATTAAATGTGTTTATTTGCTAGAAGGATAATCTGGATTGATAAAAGAATAATGAATATTCTGAAATGGTCAATCATTTCGGTTTGGATTCGCTTCCCTGGTTTGAAATTTCATTATTTTTTTCAAAAAGTATTGTACTCTATTGCATCAGCTTACGAAAATCCACTCAAGATGAACATCCCACTTTTAATCTTTCTCGTTTATATGAAGTCAGAGTACTTGTTGATAAATATATCACTTCACCCGCTTCTGGGGAAATCTGGTTAAGCACACAATACTATGGATATTGGCAGAATGTAAAGATTGAGTCTTTTCCGTCGTATCGTTTGAACTGTCGTATGTTCGGCCACTCCAGTTCTCAATGTCACCATCTACACCACCACCTCAGACCAAAAAAGCAAAGTGCTCTGCTAGAGGCTGTTATTCTATCTCATCCCGATCAACACCATGTTTTTGACACTATTGATTCAAATTAATAATGAAGAAGATTAAATGTGTTTATTTGCTAGAAGGATAATCTGGATTGATAAAAGAATAATGAATATTCTGAAATGGTCAATCATTTCGGTTTGGATTCGCTTCCCTGGTTTGAAATTTCATTATTTTTTTCAAAAAGTATTGTACTCTATTGCATCAGCTTACGAAAATCCACTCAAGATGAACATCCCACTTTTAATCTTTCTCGTTTATATGAAGTCAGAGTACTTGTTGATAAATATATCACTTCACCCGCTTCTGGGGAAATCTGGTTAAGCACACAATACTATGGATATTGGCAGAATGTAAAGATTGAGTCTTTTCCGTCGTATCGTTTGAACTGTCGTATGTTCGGCCACTCCAGTTCTCAATGTCACCATCTACACCACCACCTCAGACCAAAAAAGCAAAGTGCTCTGCTAGAGGCTGTTATTCTATCTCATCCCGATCAACACCATGTTTTTGACACTATTGATTCAAATTAATAATGAAGATTTGTTAGAAGGATAATCTGGATTGATAAAAGAGCAATGAATATTCTGAAATGGTCAATCATTCCGGTTTGGATTCGACTCCCTGGTTTGAAATTTCATTTTTTTTCTCAAAAAGTATTATTCTCCATTGTCTTAGCTTATGGAATGTCATTCAAGACAGACATTCATACTTTTAATCTTTCCCGTCCATCTGAAGCCAGAATACTTGCTGAAAGAGACATCACTACACCCGCCTCTGAGGAAATCCGGTTGGGCAC